CCCCAAAACCCCAAAACCCCAAAACCCCGAGAGCTATAATATATTAACTAATTTGGGAGTACTAAATGTAGATTAATTATTTATCAGAAAAGTAATTAACATATGGAATCAGAAAACAAGTGTGAATAATGTAATGAATTATTCAATTCTGTCGATAAACAGCAAATTATTCTTCCATGCGGTGATTCAATATGCCTCATATGCTTTGAGAAAGCTTTAGAGCCTTAAGAGGAAAAACTTATTTGCCCAATTGACAAAGAAGCATTGATTATTAGCAAAAAGTTTAGAGAAAAGATTCAAAAGATGACTAAGCATAGATCTGAGTTGCTATGAATTTTATGTCAGAATCATTTAGATTTGATTGCGGAATATTATTGTAATACTCATAGAGAAATAGTGTGCCATTTATGTGCTCACAAAGGTCATGCTAATCATGCGAAAAAGCTTGATCATATTGTTGCTAGTGATGTACAGGGATTTTGTGAGAGAGCAATTGAAAGGCTGAAGGAAAAAAGGGGCAGGATTACTGATTTAATTAATGAGATTGAAATTTTCAAGCAGAAAGAGAGAAGCTACTCTGCTGAAGTATTTATTAAGATTCTAAGAGAGGTTCAGGATTCTTTACTACCTCATTTGGGTAAGAAAGAAAGAAGAGAACTAGAGTTGAATTACAATGGAAAAAGATGTTCGGCAGATGATTTCAGCGAAGAATCTTTATCCGTATTTAATATAACTGATGAACATGAAGAACTCTTAAAAGAATGGATTTATGGGGAAGATGAAATGGGAAGTTCAAAATTTGAACTATTATATAAAGCAACTAGAGATACTTTTAACAGTGTCAAGATGCATGAACTGATTAATAACAAAGGACCTATTGTAGGCATAATAAAATCTCAACATGACTAAGTGTTTGGAGGATACTCTTCAGTAGGATGGAAAGCAGATGGTTTCTGGACTGCAGATGGCAAAGCATTTATTTTTAGCCTTACTAAAAAGACTAAACATGAGCAATATCAAAATAAGAACTGGGCTCTGTATTATGCGGAATCGTTTATGCTATGGTTCAGCTATGACATACTCTTATACACTGATTGTAATAACAATGCCAGCAGCTATTCTAA